GTGTTTTTTCTCTTCGTGCGCGTGGGTTGTTATCGCGAGGAACTCTGAAGCTCAAGAAGTGAAGTGAAGCGAGAGTGTTTTTCTACGTCGACGCTTCCAGCTTGGCATACATAAAGGGACGTCTGCAGGCTCTTAAGCTCTGGCTTAATATGAATATAGACTAGATATGGTTTATTTAATATATATTATGCTTGTGTTTTTTGTTTTTTTTTGTAAATGTAGCTCTGTCCTCCGTGTTGACGGCGCTGCCCGTCACATCTGTAGCCACTGGAATCTGGTTTTCAGCACCTGGACAGCTCCCGGTCGTGAACCTCTATTATTATTATCGGGCACATGGAGCCCTGGTATGATTGTGGGGAAGCCCCGAAATCACATTAGCTTCCCTCCGAGGATGTCGTTATCTTCCTGATTCACTGACAGCCTCGTCGTCTCTGCTGAAGGATGGTGCTTTCAGTCCGGAGTAGGTGTTTTCGTCGTGCGCTTTCTTCTGAATGGCGAACCGGGTGCTTGGCCAACGCAAATCTAAGGAGAAGCGCAGCCTATACACAGCAAGATCCGAGCTTCCCTCACTGATCATCATCATAGGCGAGGAGGGAGCTATTACCATCATCATTGCGAGGGCACAGGAGTCACGACCACACTTTACACAATGTAGAGCACGAAAAACACAAGGTCAGTACATGTGTCTTTGTGCTTCTTTTCGAGTAGGGATTTGATGTATTTGTGTTGGGTTAAATGAGAATGAGACTGCGTGGCCTCTAAGCACAGTGGGGAAATGTTAACAGCATCGTTTATTTAGCTGCGACTTGGTGGGAAATTAATGCAAATGCACATTGATCAGGTTAAATGTAGAAAGTCTGGATTAGTCATTGCTTAGTGCAATGAAATAGTAAAGAATTCCTGCCTTCTGGACAACCTCCTCCTCTGATGAAGCACTTACTGTGAACTGTCCTCATAGTAATAAGTGGCAACTCAAGATCTCTCTGATAGTGTGATTTACTCAATTCTATAAATACTTTCTTCTGCAGTAAATCACCTCCTTGAACATATTGAGCTTTGAACCCACTTGCCTTTCTTTTCACCTCACACAGGGAAGCACCTTGTTAAGTATTTTGGCTGGTTAACCTATTACCACCAGATAGATATCTTTTTTTTCTGAGTATTAATTAAAGACTACATGTTTAGGTGCTGCAGTGAAACAGAGTCACTCGCAGCCCTTGAATGACCTGCACTGATTTATCCTGAGTAGCATTTAATCTGCTGTGCTTCACTACATTACTCTGCTGCGGCGTGAGTGCTGACTCCTTACCTCTTCATGTCAGAGGGTTTTTCGCTGTGCCTCTGTGTGTCACACACTACCCGAATCCATGAAACATTGTGTAGATGATGAAGGTGTAAACAATGCAAATGTCCCATTGTTGCAGTTATAATTCATCCCTTGTTGGCAGCTGATTTCAGTGCCACATTTACTTTGCAACACTGAGAATTGCTCTTGTTCTTTGAAATAGTGGATGTTTCATGAGGTCATGTCACGCCTTTTCCCTGCAAAGCAGCTGGAGTGGGCTTTCACTGAACGGACTTGGACATCAATGGCTCTCTATCCTGTGGCACAAGACCTAGCATCCTGCTGTACTTGCTATGCAAGAGGTGTGATGTTCCTCAGCCCCTGATTCACAGAGCGAAGCGTATATTGGAGGAGATTTAAAATCCATTACAGTTTAGTGCTGCCCAGGAAATAGTTGTAGAGCATAGCTAAAGCTGAAGTTAGGACATAGTGCCTTCAGGGAAAGCATAAGCACTCATACTTCGTTGATGCATTTGTGTTATATTTCAACTGTATATGTATATAACGATAATTAAGATTAAATGTTCATGTTTGACCTTGGAAACAGCAGTTAACGAAACAATCTCCTCAAGGTCTATTAATTGCTGTTCTGGAGCTTCCAATCATATCTTGCGATCTTCCACAGCTGATGAAATTTGCTTCATGATTTCCTTATTATGTAGCAATTATATTGTTCTTTTCTATTTTCTACAGGTGTGGTAGGAGGTCTCTGCAGTGGTGAAATCACTTTTCACACTTGGGGTTATTTAGTGTGGACGTCTATTTGCAGCAACAAGACCTCAACATGAGCAAGCCCCAGTAAGTAGAACACCGTCCAGAGTCTTGTTTGAAACCATGTCTGAGAGATCGTGAAATCTTAAATCTCTATTATGAACACGCAGTCTCATGCAAAGGGCATCTCAGCGTGGTAGGATATGATTAGCAGAATGGACCTGCATATTCTCATGCCCCTCCTGTGAATGACTTTGAACAGGGATCAGCGGGAAGCAGAGCTCAGCCTCATACAGCATCTCTGAGGAGTGAGAGGGCGGCCGGCCATCTCCAGTATCCGCTGGCATCTCTTAGCATTCAAGAGGGATGCTCACTTGTCATCTTCTCTATTAATAATTACTCTGTGTGGTCCTCTAGACAGGCCCTGCATTCTGATGACAGCCAGGGTAGGGGATAAGAGAAGGCAAAAGAGAGGGAGCATGGGAATGGAGTGGAGTGGGAGGAGGTGGAGTGGAGTGGAGTGGAGTAGAGTGGAGTGGAGTGAAGGGTGAATGCAAAATGGGTTCAGTCAGCTGCATCTTCTGGTTAAAGGCACAGGATGCTGCTTCCAACCAACAGAGCGTTCTGTCTAGGCCTCAGACCAGTGGATTAGTACAGCTGATGGTTGATTACAGGTTTGTTTGAAGGAGAACTTTGGTGCAAAACATCTGTAACCAGATGATATAGAGAATGTGTTGATGATTAGTAGTAATGGCATGATTTAATGTTGCGGAATGCCACTGACTCTCTGTGAAGTGACAGATGGGAAACTCTCATGCAGAGAAAGGTCTTAGGAGTTATTTTCACCCCTGCTCTCTTAGACTTGATGCTGCTGTAAATACTCTCTCTCCCTCTCACTCTATTTCTCTCTCTGGATGGGACAATTATTGCTCAAATACAACTTATTCAAAGGCATTTATGGTACATATTTCGCATAATGTCTGTCTGTAGTTTACATAAAACAAAACTGATAAAATTGAAAAATAAAGATTACACAGCCTTACAACATGTATTTTAACACAAAAAACAGATACACTAAAGAGGCAGCAGGCTACTCTTAGTGTTTGCCCAGAATTAAGCTGTTTGTATTTTTTGTTTTTCTCACTCATTCCTTTCCAACAGCAAACACCACACACCACAGGAGCCCAGTGGCACTGAAACAGGTCAGCTAACATTTACTGTAACTAACCTCACTGATCCAGTGCCACGCTGCTCTTAATTTATCCGCATAATGAAGACCTCTTTCCAATCGCTGGAATAAACTCTGCTCATTAGCAGGTCACTGCTAAGCCACCATTTTTAAATCCTCTGTGTTGAAATTTAGAATTGCAATTGTCTGTTTTATGCAAGTACAATTTGTTTATGGTAAATTTATTATTTTTTTAATTATTTATTATTTGTAAGAAATTGATTATTAATCCCTTCTTGATTCAAGTCTTTAGGTGTTAATTTTGTTCAGAGTTGCTAGTCTAATAAGAGGCTCTGAATTTATTTTTATTTTAGGCTTATTTTATTATTGGCATAGAGCCCCATTGTTGTCTGAAGAATACACAAACACATCACTGGACCAGACGTCCTCCATTATGATGAACTTGGGTATTATAATTATTTAGAATTTATCCCATGTCCCGTTCTGTAGTAATAAATACTCAGTAGCGCATCAAATTTGTATTAATCCGCAGCTGAAATTAGTCCTCAGCAAATCAGAATCAGATTTATTTGCCAGGTATGTGTATACATACGAGGAATTTGACTCAGGATTGTACATTGTTCATGATGTGATTACTCATACAATAATACAATAATTGCAAATGCACGTATTACTGCTTTGGTTGACTTTTTCTAAACATGTACGTATGTTTTTGTGACCCATTTTCAAGATTTACATCTTCAGTGGGTATGAATGGACTTGGGGCTGAGTGGCCCAGACAGGGTAGGGAAGTATTGAGAAGCAGACACATTGTTGGTGTTGGGTTTTTCACAGGATTTTTTGACAATAAGAAAAATATAGAATGATGACTGCCTTACTCTTACTCTAAAGTGTTACTGTGTCCATGTTCAACATAGTTATGCTTGGTTACTTACTGGCACTGAAGATGAAGCATCTGGTGTTAGGAGAGAGTAAGTGTAAATCTTAATGTATCAGGTGTCATCTTGACTACCAGCCTATTGAGGCAAGATGGACATAAAAAGAGATTCAAAGCCGACGCATTTTCTGTACAGTAAAAAGAAAACTCCAAAGACCAACAAAACACATTCACTCTTCATTGATGCAGCGGAATTGTCTACTGCTGTAATTTCCCCTTGGACCTTGAAGGGCGTTGCCGAAAAGATCTGATCTTACAAATGTACAATTGTGTCAGGAGCTTGTGTCAGGCCTGCTGCTGCTGCTGCTGCTGCTGCTGCCGCTGCCGCTGCTGCTGCTGCTCGGAAATCTGGCCGGTGCCCACATAAGTGATTTGGCACATTGGTGCCGCTTTCTTGATGATATCAGGACAGTGAATTGCTGCGCACCGAGGAGTAGCCAAGTGTCCGTATACAAACTTATTGGGTAAGACAGAGTGTCTGGGCTACAGACAGTTGGCCAGAAATACCGTGGCAGTGAGCACTCAGAATGATAATGATACCTATGCCCTCTGCAAAACACCAGGTCATGCTGAGGCAGCACTTTGAAATCCACTGAAGTGACAGAAGCAGAGAATCTATTGCTCAGAATAGGTGATTTAATATATGATGTGACAGGCATCAATCTTACCCCTTATCACCTTGATGGAATAGCAACATTATACTCCATTTGTCCATTGCTGTTGTCCTGCATTGGATTCGTATTGCATTAGAATGATCATAAGCTGTTGTCAATGTTTAGTTTCACTTAACTTTATGTTAACAGTTATTTATCTATGGAAAATTGACTCTTTTTTAAGCCTAGCCTTGACGTATAGTTACGCTTTCGTGCTGAAGGTTGCTGTGCTATAGGACATGTCAGCTACAGTTTCACTGCCATTGTGGGAATTTTAAGTAAGGACCACTTTGCCACAACTGCCTCTTATAATAAAAGACTAGAAATTATCTACCAATACAATACAGAGAAAAGTTAAGCGCAGACCCAGGTCTGTTTAACCAAATAACAAAAACTATAATGTAAAATATGAAATAATAAAACTTTCATGAGGCATTTAATGTGTCCTGACATAAAAAAAGATTAAATGAACTCTGATTTTAGTCTTAGTCTCAAACCAGTTTTAATCTTTACATGTTACTACAAACAGACTCACTCTTGACTGACTTTAACGCAGCCCCATCTACAGCCCTGGAAGTTAACATATTCCCTCCCGATGTACCTTATATTAGCATTTGAACCTCCTTTATGTGCATTGGTGTTAGTAAAAAGAGTTTTACTTTCTGATGAGTTCAGCAGTATTGGCCCTCGGTGGCATTTGAGTACCATTCTCATAGGAGGCAGCAGAAAACTGAGGCTTGAATAGATAGATAGATAGATAGATACAAGTGAGATTCATTTAAACTCCAGATCTATGGAATCACTGAGTATGGCCAAGAAGATGTCCCTATTGAAAATGTCTAAATGAAAAAGGCTATCTTGGATGTATTTTTAAGAAACGTGTCACTGGAGAGTGTTTCTGGATGGAGCGGGTTTTTCAGTTAACCCTTGTTGTAACTGAAAAGGGTGTGGGCCTCGAGAATATTAATAATGAAACCATGTAAAACTGATCACATTGTATTCTAAGTAAATAATTATTATGCCTGCCATGTTGTGACAAATAGCACTAAATTGTGTAGTCAATTGGTTAGACATGGAAAGAGATCTCTGCAAGCTATTATATTTTTATATATCATTGATCACCGCATGGTAACTTGTCGTGATGTTATGTAAAAATGCTAGGGGAATAACTAGGCACTGCTGTTATTCTGAAGGACCCAAATCCCTGGAAATAATGACACAAGAGGAAATAGAACTCGAAAAAAACACAGCTGTCTCTCAATCTTTGACGAATGCATTGGATTTAATCAGCATTACCAGTTAAAGTTGCTATTTTGTGTAGTAACAGTGTAATTATACTGTAATGGCTGTCCTGAATAGATGAAAATTCAGGAAAGGCTGTGGTAAAACAAGTTTCATTTCAGTCTGTTGCATTATAATAAAGAAAGTTCACATAACTACAGCCTTACTCCAGGGTGTAAGAACAATACCATGTAAAACACACCATATCAGCATTTAGAAGCATTATCTTCTTTAGAACTATGGGGTTTTTGGGCTTCGTGGTAAGTCTTAGCTCTTACTCTGTATGGGTATGAGATTTTCCCCCTAGCCATGCATGCTCTGTGTTAACCTTTTTGCTTCCTCGTGGCGTTTCCTAGTATCACATGCCTCTGAAAAGATCACAGCCTTTAGCATGCTACTGGCTGTCCTTGCCTGCATTGTTGAAGAGAGTAAAGTGTTCAGATGTGAATCCTCCACTCCCTCCTCAGGATGGCAACCTGCCACTCCACTGGGCTCTGCAAATTATGGCTCTTGGCCTGCTCTGTGATTGTCTGGAAATGTGATTTTGATGCACTAAACAGTTTGTGTCTGTCATGACTGATTAGCGTCCTTGTTGCAGTTGGTCAGAGGTGCCAAGTCTATAGATATCTCTGGGATGCACAGGCGTGCTCTGTCGCGAGCATGTTAATATATGGCCGACCCTCAAGCTTAACAACACATCTAGCAGGACTTGCATAATGAAAGGATTGGGAGGAAGGGCATGGCATTTTATGCAGTGATGACATGAAAATAAGAGTTTGCGTTCCATAGCCCTATTGTGCAATGCTAATCCATTATATTTAAAGTAATTCTTAGTTTTCTGTGAGAATAGCAAAATAACCTTTCAAGGGAGTCCATTAAACAGCTATTAGTCAGGAAGTAAGTCAAGAAAAAGAAAGAACTATTTTCCTTTCCAGGCATGCCTACATTAACATTTAACAGGAAGGTGGGTCTGCTCAGTGATCTTCTTCTAACTGTTTCCTTTCATTCTGTTTCACCTCCAGCGTAGAGGTTGTGGAATTCACCAACCCAATGACCTTTGTTTCCTCTGTCTTGTAATCAATGCCTTCCTCCAGTGTTAAGCACTGGAGTTATTGATGTCTCCACACTGGCTGCGCTGGGACAGCTGCCAAGACATGTGAGACTGCTGTTCCAGGGTGACTTCTCCTTGTCCGCTATTGGCTGAGCTCGTAGGATCACAATCCTCCCTACACATTTAGGTTTTAGGACCTCAATGGCAAATAAAATTCTTGTGTGTTTGGTTCTGCCAAAAATAGCTAACCTCACAGAGAAAATGCAGTGGATGTATCAAAATGGACATAACAAAACTGAAACAACTTTTTTTGTGCCCTCCGATGTCATTTAGCCCATAAAAATATTGTTGAAAAATATTGTTTTGCTTTAGGATAATGCTGGTAGTTTACAGCATACCATATGTTTTTATTTCATGCAGCCACTGGTTTCTATTAATTTCCGTGGACTCTTCAAGTAGAAACTTGTTATTAACTTGTAATGCAGTTTTAAGCATTTGGTGGCCACTGAGCTATGCATTCAGAAAACCAAATGCTGGAGAGAAATAATGATTTGTTGATGTTGTAAAGAGAATATAGCTTCCTTAGCTTCCTTTAGTGCACCAACAGGGAGAGTTGTAGCAGTCAAAATGGCGACTGCTGGCAACTGGGCAATAGCATGATTTTAGCCTAAAAAAGTCAAGCAAAACACCAAATTGTTCACTGTAATAGATCACTAATCCCAATCAAGCTTAAAAGTTGAGTTTCAGTCCATTATGATGAATGGAAAGGAATGGCTGCCTGGAAGGTGGGAAATCATTCTAAATCTTAATGAATGCTTTAGAAAGCCGTCTGAAAGAATGTAAAGTATAGGTGATTTGTAGTTAAAGCTGATATCTTTAATCTTTTTAATCAAGAAACTGTTAATATTTGCATATGTGTGGAATGCAAATTGCTATATTTACTGGGCTTTTGAGACTTACTTCACTGCATACTCTGAAATGCAGATCAGCTTGTCATCACTTGCCAGGTAAATGTGTCCTTGTTGAGGTTGCCAGCAAACGCTGCAAACAAGGAATTTCACACCATGTCTATGTTTTCATTCATCAAAATTAAGCATATAGTCCCAGTAGTTGTTGTCACGCTTTGCTACCTGGAACATTTCCATGTTGGTGCTTTGACTAATTCAAATACTCAGCACACTTCCATTCAACCTTGTACTGCAACACTGACATCTATGCTGTAGACCTCACACCACTACACAGAGTAACAGCAAGCAGATCAGAAGCTAAAATCAATTAAGGATTATCTTATCTTAAAAGACGCAAACCCACTCATGGATGACACTCACAAGACATCCACCCTCTAACGCTGCTCTGGTTATGGTTTGTGTGTGTGTACTACAGCGCCCCTCCCCAGACCGGAGCCTCAGAGCTGGAGGTGATTTCTCAGCAGGTGGAGGAGGACAACCAGTGCGTGGCCCCTGTCCAGCTGGTCAGCTTCGCCTACAGAGACTTGCCTTTGGCCGCCCTTGACATATCCCTCGCTGGATCTCAGCTCATCTCGAACCCGGATGAAGAAGACAACAGGGAGGGGTACGTCCCACGAATTCACTCCGAAACAATCCATCAGTTTCTGTGGTTGCTTGATAATTTGACCACAATCAGTAAAACAATCTCTAGAGATTATTCTGTTATTATCAAGAACTCGTGACTGGTTTGGCTAGCCTGACAAAGCAGCTTGAGTGTGGTTATAAGGAACGTGAAACTCGTGTTTTTGTTCTGAAACTACATGAAACAGAACACTTTCCTTTCATGGTTTGAAGCATATAAAACACCATACCTTCTGAGGAAGGTGGAAACAAATTAGTAGCATGATTATCAATTAAATCTTTCTATGATTAATTTGTATACTAAAAAGCCCAAAAATGTAATTACATATTGATTGATGTTCCTGATGTTCGCCACCGCAGTTAAGAAGATACTAGGAATATGGTGTCTGAGACATTGTCTCTGCTTGTTGCGTGAAAGTGCCACATCCATAATTAAGGCAGAATTGCAATTACTACAATCTATAATCTACCCTGGCAGAGAAAAGCTCTGCCGTCACTCTCTCCATTGCTCGTTATTGCACATGGTAATTACACCTGGCGTATTGAATCAGCCCTCATTTTATATTAGAGTCCAGGAGTCGAGGATATTTGGCGATGAATTTATTAGTGTCACCATGTTAAATGGACAATGTCTCCACTGATGTGTTCATTTTAGCTCAATGACACAGCAATTTCTCGCTACCAGACAGGCTTCTGTTCATAATGTCGATTTCTGGCGCAAAACAAACAGTGTTATTCGCACCATAGCTTTCCTGAAATGTCAGAGCCCTGTGGCGGTGATGTTAATGTCCATGAGCCCTGCTTGTCCAGGGTTTGTGTTGTTTTCTTATTGCTATATCGCCATGCTGCAGGCCCAGTGCTCTCAGAACAGGACATGCCCCTCCTAGAGCACCCCTGTAGCACATGTCCATGGCTCTCCACTCAGGAAGCGTGACTCACAACCCTTTGGCATGCTGCAATGCTGGCACCCATGCAGAGAAATTTGACAAACAGCATAAGCTTTATTAGAGCATCCGGCATTTCACAATCCAAGCCCTGGTGTGTCAGCTGACCATGTCCGGCTGGACTTTGCCCGGTCTGGCCAGGTCCGGGCCGATGGCTCTGTGGGACGGAGGGCCGGGACAGATGGGTCATCCCAAACACAGACTCTCTCATCCTACCTTGTGTCTTTCTCACTCTCTCAAATGCTCACAAAAAGCACACATAGCAATGCCACAGCAGAGAGCAGGATCTGGCAGCCCAGCAAAATTATCAGAGCGGGCTCTCTCATATGGCATCATATCACACCCTGGTCACCTGGGATTTGGCATTGTGCAGTGGAAAAGTCATGCAGTGCCAAGACATGTCTCTGAGGGATTTATCAAGTCAACAGTGTGAATATTCTTTATCATGAAAAGTAAGAAGGCATTCATTCTGATTAGAGAAATGCCCTCTTAAGAGGCCAGGAAGTTTAGACGTATTCAGCAGATTAGTGAAAACATGACAGCATTTGTCACCCAGAGTTTGAGTGTTACATCAACTTCAACTTTCAACTTTATTTTGTCCCTAGAGGGCAATTGGTTTTCCAACAAAGCAATACAATAAAGAACATAGACATACAGTGGAGGGGAGGTGCCTCATTATCATCATCATCATCATCATCATCATCATCATGAACTACATCATCATGTCATCACATCTACACTGCACACTCAGCCAAGTGATTAGTCTCTCATTAACTCCTCCCCTGGCCTCCTGGGCAAAGGAGTGCTCATACCTGTTACTCTTAAACAGGGGTGAATGCCAGAAGGCAAAATCTGAAATTCAGACTGTAGGGAGTTGGCGTTGTCAAATAGGAAGGCTTTAGCCTTCCTCCCTACATGTCTAAACAGGTCAGATAGCATACTCTGCTGCACTCCCAAGATCTTACTGCTCACTTTCACTATCCTGGTTAGATCATTCTTAGCCTTGTAACTAAGGTTCCTGAACAAGCAAATCAAAGAAAAAGTTTAAACAAACCAGGATAAAATAGGATCATGATTGTCTTGTCAACACGAAACTGAGACAATATCCAGAGGCAGAGCAGACATTGCTGGCCCTTCTTGCACAGCATCTCAGTGTTACAATTAAAATTCAGCTTGTTATCAGTTATCAACCCCAAGGTACTTCTCTACAGAGTCTACCACCTGTCCCTTGATGATAGTACTCTGAGAAGATGGGGGCTGATAAAAATCAATACTCATGTCTTTAGTTTTTGTCACATTAAGTAGTAGAAATGCACCAATATTGAAAATTCATCGACTGACACATTATTACAGCAAACTTTAAAAAGCATGTGTTGTTGTGCAGCACTCGTCAGTGTACAGAATATGGAGGAGAGGTGAAAGGAAAGGTAAAGAGGCCCTGAGGAGATCCTGTGGATGTTGATAATTCCTCCGAGATGCTTCCACCTTCAGTCTCAGGGTTCTGTTATTAAAAAAATCAAGGATCCAGCCCACAACATTAAAATCTGAACCAAAATTGGGGTTGGATCATGTCAAAAGCAGATGAGAAATCCACAAATAACAGCCCCCTCGCCCAGTTCCGTACACAAACTGTAATGGTAAAAGTAGGAAATAAAAGTAGGTGCCCAGTATTGATGACAAGTTCACTTTTCAGCAGTTTTTGAAAGGGCTTCATAACTAGGGCAGTCAGAGCAACTTCCTATAATCATTAAAACTTTGGTGTGATTGTTTTTGGCCACAGGGATTACTATGGACTGTTTCTAGCTGAAAAATAGTAAGGTAAAAGTCGGCATCCACTTCCCACTTTGTTGATCGCTCTAGATCACTGTATTCATTGCGTAGATTATGAAAAAGAAAAGAAAACAACCCAGACTCAGACATGACGCTTGCTGCCGGTTGCTGTTAGAGCATGGCCCTGGGCCCAAGTATGTTCAATGAGCTTTTTAGATTGGAATTCCTGATTTTCAGGTCATAGGCATTCTAAGACATACCTGACATGACAGTTTCATACACACATTTTTTGTTCGGAAGAGCAACAGAGCCAGCTTGTCGCCACCGGTTCTGGCAGCCTTTGTGACTCATGTGTATAACCTCAGAGGAGTGGCACAAAGGTGGGATGTGTTGTATGCAGCAAGATTTTAAATTAACCAAGAGAATCAAAGGCCCTAATCGCAAAGCAATGACTGATTTACAGCTATTTTTCTATTTTTCTCCTGTTTATTGGAATGTATTTCCAGGGAGACACCTCTGCATAGTGTTGGCTAATTTTAGCACTTTATAAACGATTGTGTACAAGAATGTAAACCCACTTTCATAGCCTTGTTACTGGTATTCCAGTGGCTTTGATGGTGATTAGCAGGACAGGTTGTTTTCTGAAGCTACTATGACTTACATTCCTGAAATGTTTTTATATCATAGAAATGAGAATTTAGTCTTACAAGGCAGCTTCTCGTGGCCCTTTATCAGGAGGCGTGGGCGTTTATGTAGGAGGTGGATGTTCTTGCGGACTACAAGGGGCACACGCAGTCCTTGCAGATTCCGAGCGGTGATGAGCTGGATGGAAATATTAATAGATTTTGGCAGCACCATCTTCTCCAGGACTTACTGGAAAGTCCAAGATGAGGGTGGTATGATTTCACATGTACCTTAGGTAACTTAATTATTGTCTCATGTGTATTATTGTATTATTTTAAAATTCTGCCTTTTTAATAGTTTCAAAATTAAGCTGCATGCCTTGTCATGTTTCTGTATTTTGATTAAGCTGTAGCAACCTAACCATCCTTGCAGCAATCAATGCCTAATAGGGGTTGCAAAAAGGGAATAAGCAGGGCTTAAATAGAATTACCGTAATTAGTGTAAGTGACAACAGCTGTTCGTGTGTGCGAAGCATACACAAATTGACTTTTAAAATATTTTGGTGCTTTAATTATTTTCAAATTTGGTTCAAATTTGGAAGCTGTAATTAACTATGGCAACATAATGGAGTGTGCATCTGTTTCTTCTATTTTTGAAATCATAGGGTTTTTTTCATTTTCCTGCATTTGTCAATTTAGTCAGAGGACTTTTTAATAAGGCAATTAAAAGAATGATAAAACTGCATATTTTTTTATTAGATGCTGTGCATGTAAACTGTACAGGTCTAAATAAAAGTGCAGCAGCAATGTGATGTGTTGAGATCGTTCTCTACCTTAATCCTGACCTCTAATGGTGACCTCCAGACTGGGTGGGGCCCAGGCTCCTAGAGAGCTTCTTCCTGGCCCCAGTCTCCGGACCTATCCTGCTCTTGTCTTTGGTTATCATCCCTAGATCAACATGCTGCCCACAGCTGCAGTAGCACATGCTGTTGTTCTCCTGGGGCTACACTGAGAGGTCTGAGGCACTGCAGCAATGACAGATGGTTCATATGGGTCAACTTGCTGCTTTGACTGGAGAAGAGAGGAGGCGGAGGAGATAAAGAGAAGGATGGAGGAAGGAATAGTGCAGACGACCTTCCTCCACACCTTCATTCACAAAGCTGCCAGCTGCAGATCACAAGGAAATGGCTCCATTTGATGAATGTCGTATCTGTTAATTAATCCTGTGCCGTGTTGCATGGTGATGGCCACAGCTGCTAGCTGACACAGTGTCGGGAGAAATGTCGGCTATTAGATAAGCTTAAGGCTGCCCAGGCCAGCCTAGATTGATTACATTACTCAACATAGAGCTCAGACTTCCCCACTGAAATAAAGTTCTCAAGCCACTTTACACTCACTAAAATGTATGAACACAGCAGTACATCAACATGCACATGATCAAAACTAGGTTGACAATACTCAAGGTTGAAGTAAAAATGGAATAATTAGAAAAACCTATACTGTAGAATATAGCACTGAAGGACCTTGCCAGAGTCTAGTATGAATCTTGGCAGCAACAATATTTCATGGGGCTTTGGAACCAGAGCCATACTATACCTGTTCTTTGATGATGGATGTCTGAAAATAGAGCAGGACGCCCCCCACCC